ATATATATATATATATAGTGGAGCCGATGTGATCGATAAGCAGCTAGTCCACTTTCCACTCCTAAGCTTATTCTATGTGATCCAGCAATTATTTTAAGCAGAAATGTGGCAGGTGTGTCTAGACCTTACCTTCACAGTGAGGGAAGTATCTTATAATTCGATATTCTCATCCCTTCGCACCAACCTTCCAAATGGCCTAACTTTCTTACTAATAACTATATTCCTCAACAATGACGCTCTCTCTTACTTTGTACCAATTCTACTCCATCTCTATATAAATCCCTCTTAATGTCTAATTATGTTCCATACAAAAAGCCAAATCTCATTTCAAAAAATGGCCCTAACTTCAACTATCATATCTCCACGAAAATTTAGACAGGATGTCTACTCATATTCATACCAACAAAGTTCAAACATCCCTTTAGTCATTTCTGTTCTTGCTTCTATCATAGAGAGAACATTGTCTAGGAATGAAAGAATTGCTAAAAACTGCAGATTTCCTTTGTCATCAAGATCTGCTAAAACCCGAGTTTTCGACTGTAATGAGACACCAGATATGACAATTCAATCCTACCTTGAGAGGATTTTCAGATACACTAGAGCTGGACCATCTGTTTATGTTGTTGCATATGTTTATATTGATAGGTTTTGCCAGTTTTATCCCGAGTTTCGAATTGGTGTTAGGAATGTGCATAGGTTGCTCATTACAACAATAATGTTGGCCTCCAAATATATAGAAGACTTGTAAGTTTCTTTCTTCTCTACTGAGTTTTTGTTAGTAAAAACAATGTAAATTTGACTTATTTTTAAGTTTTAAGCAAGAAAAAGTAAACAAGGAGTAATTATTGAGTACTTCCAAACGAGCTCAATGGAGTTTAATTTCTACGACGAAGCACCAAATAATCGATATGGGCACTTAGAAAATCCCAGTTTAATAAATGTTTTATCTTGTTTTGTGCAGGAATTACAGAAATTCTTATTTCGCTCGAGTAGGGGGATTAAAAACAAAGGAAATGAACAAGTTAGAGGTTGAATTTTTGTTCTTGATGAAATTCAAGTTGCACGTGAATGTAAGTGTTTTCGAGAGTTACTGCTGCCATTTGGAGAGGGAAGTGAGCATTGGAGGAGGTTACCACATTGAGAGGACCTTAAGGTGTGCAGAAGAAATCAAAATAAAGCAAAGAGAAGAAACAAGATTTGATCAGACTGCCCTTTTTTTGCTGTAAATTAGTATAGATTAATGCAACATCATACGCAAATTGTATAAAAGATTTTTTGGGTTTTGACTTTTGGTTTTTTCTTTCTACAAAATCATTTTGGCTATAGCTTTATGCTTTAAGTCTCACGTCTTTGTTTTTCTCGTGCTTGGATTTTAACTTCTACAAAGCAATTATTAGCTGTTGTTATATTTATGTTATATTAACTACTATTACAAGGGATCCAATTTCTAACAATCTCTCCTTCAATTAAATTACCATGCATTTTGGTCCCTTCAAGCAATTGTCTATCCATCTCTCTTCCTCGAACCGAATGATTTCATGTTCTGTAAGACACAACTCTTCCACTGCATCAGGGTCATCGTCTTACATGAGCACAATTGTCTTAAGAGCCAACCATGAATTTACGTCCAACTTAGGTCCCACTACCTTCGTTCTGCTGCAACTCTAGCTATGTGCTATGCTTCTCATGACTAAATTTGAGGTCTAGCTCAAATACCACTTGTAGAAAACTGAGTCTCACACTAAAAGATTAACCTATTACGTGAAATCCTCAAATTCATTATGACTTATCATCTATCCCTTATTTAACTAACATAGAACTTTGTTCGCATTTTTCAAACGAATATGTAAAATAACTATTGAAAAAGTGTTCCAAAATTAGAAAAAGAAAAAAACGTGTTTCTGGAATAACACCTTATTAATGGAGCTCTACTGTTGGATTGTGACGCGTGTTTATTTCCTGACCTTTGGATCTGATTCTAGTTTCTTCTATCTACCTAACCATGAGATCTTTCGGGAGATTTTTACATTTAATGAGTGAGAGACTTTTCTTCCAACCCTCAAGTTATCCAAAAGAAAAAGTGACTCTCTCTTCTCTCTAAGATTCGGCCTCTCTTTGCGAAAAAGCCTCTTCTACTTAGTGAGATTAGGGCTTAATTCTTGGAGTATTTTCTGAAAGAAGAATCTGTTAACATCAAAAAATATTGTAAATCCATATGGTTATTGTTCTATTTTAGTTTTGGATGAGTGGAACTTGTGGGATTCGAGTTTTGCGCCTTAGTTTCTTGTGAGATTTTAGTGATCTCGGCCTCTTCATGTGTTGAATAGTGGTTGGTTTGTTTTGTTCCTTGGTGAAATGTTGTTTGTTGTGAAAGAAGCGCATGTAGTTGTTATGTGAGAGAGGGCGGTTTAGTTGCTTGTGAGATCTTTGTGATCTTGGCCGGTTCTAGTGTGGAATAGTGGTCGATTTTTTGGTGTTCTTTATAAGATAAGTCTTTGTGGCTTCTTACTTTATAATATTTTGAAACATTATTGCTGACTATTTTTGGGATTTTATAGTGCAATCGAGTTTTATCCATTTTAATAGATGCTCAATAGGGGATTAGGCGTTAGAAGTAGTCGTCGAACCTCTGGGGCTTCGGCCGAAAAATTCTCCGTTTTCATTTTATTTTCAGTTTATGATTGTGGTTTTGGAATCTTGGTTAATATTAGTATCTCTTGGTTTTTCAACAACCTATGAATTAAAAGAATAAGTATTTATAATAATGTGTTTTAAGATAAGAAAATCCGTGCTAATGATGGGCCTACGGTTCCAAATTAAATTAACTTTGTATGATGAACAATGATTATGAGACGGAAAAAAAAAGGACTTGGATGAAAAATAATATACAATATTGAAGAAACAAGAAAGCAACTTGGCAGTGCCTCATTAACACCAGTCTAATCATTCATAATGAAAGTAATTGAAACACTGTACATTATAATTAATTATTTGACGCCATCCCTCCTTTACATAACTGCACAAGTACACAAAATTAAATAATCTCACCCTTAATTAGATTATTCATATTACAACTCAGCATGTCACGGTCGAACGAGTTCATTCTCAGAAAAATCTGTATCTAATTTTTTTTTTCTTTTCTTTTCTTTACAAAGAAACTAGTTCATCAATCCAAAGACGTCTCACCAAATTTTTAAGAAAATTTATTCAACTTTTGTCTCCTTTTCTGAGAAAAAAATTGTGATTTTCTTGATTTTATTCTCTTTTGAAGAATGCAAGAAGGGGAACACACTGGCGGCATCATGTTTCTTATACCTTATTTTAATTATTATTTCATTAAATAAAGACCACTTTTATTGTTCTAATCACGTAATAAACGGGAAATTCACCAAACTTTCCACTTTATTTAATTTAAATTCATTTTTTTTACGAAAATAAATGAGAATATTTTAGTACATCAATGATGGATTGATGGAACATTTAAATCTTTATCCTATAAAATACATTCATAACTTAGCTTTAATTCAGAGACTGGTGAATTGGTTCAGCATCTACTCAAAAAATTATTATTCTAGCTATATTTTTCATGCCACACAATGATATCATTGTGACTCTGATTTGCCTTGTACTCATATGGGAGGTAACATTCGTAGGTTTTTATGTATTTTTGTAATCTTATTTTTTGTTTTTGTGACCATGGCGTCGGTTTAAGTAAATGTGATGAGCAAAGACGAGTTTTTCACTTCCATTAATTGTGACCTGGATAAAGGATTTGAGATTGTTACTTACGGTCCGTTTCAGAGTCGGCCCTAACAATTCGGAGGTCCTAAGCGAGTCGACAATCTTGAGGCCCCATACTTTGTTTTTCTACATGTATAACAATATTTAAAATAAAAAAAAATCTATATTTAAATGAAAACTTTGTACAATCTAAAAGATAGAATTGCTAAGTAAAATATCACTTACAATCCGAGAGATTAAGCTAACATCATATTTTGTCTTCTCATGTTTTGAGATGCAAAATTAGTAATCAAACAACTCAAATCAAGTTTTTTCAACATTTTTTTTTTTTATAGAAATCATAGCTAATCCATTTAACCTCTCTTGTGACATGGTTAATCGAAGATAGGACTTAATCAATTTTAACTTTGAAAAACTTCTTTCAGCAGAGACAACAGTGACTGGGATAGTCAATAATATCATGTAAGCAACCCAAGCATTTACAAAACAACAATTCATTCTCTTGATGTAATCTAACACATTAGCTGCTCCATTCTTTTGTGTAGTATTGCTTCCCTTAAAACTTTCAACTCAGAAAATAATTACATTCCATTGATATCGGATACTGTCTTATGCTTCATTTTAGCATCATCAAGATTTAAGCTTTTCCAAATCAAAAAAAAATTCAAAAATATCATCATATTCCTGAAATTGTTCAAATCTATTTTGAAGCGATGATAGAGCTTGATCTACTATATATAAGAAATAATTGACCCTGAAAAATTCTTCAACTATTTCTGTCATCTCTTCACAAGAAATCTCATCAAACTGCTTCTTTCAATGTATAACTCTTTTTTCACAAAATATCGGTTCAATGTCTAATTCACTTGCAATCTCTTTAGTATCAATCACGGTCGATTCAAACCTAGTTTCTCTATAGCTTTTGAAAAATGAAATGAGCTCTTTTAAATGGTTTATAGCAACGTCAATATGGATGTCATCTGTTTGCAAATGTTTGCTTACTCTATTAACATTATTTAACACTTCATACCAAATTACCATTCCAAGTAAGAATTCAAAATTTTTCATTTCATATGTTGCCAAACACTCTGCCTCACTTTTTGTCTTAGGATCACAACTCTTGTCAATTCAAGTAGAGCATTTCTTATTTCTGGAGCTTGAAATCTTATTGCTCTAACACTTTCAACATGACTTTCCCAACGTATTTGAGACAAAGGATTAAGAGTAAAGCCATTTACATTATCTTTAAAAAATTTCCATCTTTTAGTAGATGATGAAAATAGAGTATATATACGTTGCACCACTCCAATGAAAGATTTAGCTTTTGTACAACAAGTAACCATATCACAAAATGCAAGATTGAGACTATGACACCCACAAGGAGTGTAAAATGCTTTAGGATTTACTTGTAGTAGTCTATTCTGTACCCCTTTATGTTTTCATTTCATGTTAGCACCGTTATCATATCCTTGACGTCTTATGTTATCAATATCAAGTTCTAGATTATTCAACGCATTCACTAATTCATCAAAAAGTCCATTTCCAAATGTATCATCCACCAATAAAAATCGTAAAAAGAATTCTTCTACCTTCACTGGACTTGCTGAAATATTAACACACCTCAATACTATAGACATTTGTTTTTCGTGACTCAAATCTGGAGTGCAATCAAGTATCACAGAAAAGTACTTGGATTCTTTGAGTTTCTCAATGATCATTTTCTTGATCTCACCCGCTAGCATAAGTATCAACTCATGCTGAATTTTGTGTCCAAGATAATGATAATGAATTTATTTATTTTGAATTCGAGGAATGTGCTTTTGCATTACAGGATCAAACTTAGCAATCATTTGGATTAAGCTTAAGAACATACCATTATTTTCTTGGTATATCTTCTCATCATCTCCACGAAACGCTAAATTATTCTCTGCAAGAGTTCTAACCACGAATATTATTCTCAATAATACTTGTCTCCAATGTTCTCTATCCTTGATTTATTCCTGCTCATTTTTATCAATTGTTTGTTTCTTTTGAAATCTTATTTCCATTTCGATCCATCTACTCATGTTAGTGATATGGTCATAACCCACTTCATGTGTTCTAAGTTTTTCACCAATATTTTTCCAGTCATTCACACCATCATGTGCCAATTGAGTTTGAACCCCATCATTCTTGAATAGCTTACAACAAAAACAAAATATTTTGAACAGACTTTTTGAATATATCAACCACTTTCTATCATGATTCTCTCCATTGGGTAATCGTCAAGTGTAATGAACAGAGGAGAAGTGTCGATTAGCTATATCTTTTGGAAAAACTACATCATTATCTCTTACTGGACCTTTTATTACGATTAAATCTCTTAAATTCTGATTTATATTTTTCCAATTCGTTGGATCAGTAATATCAAAGGAGAATGATTCACTAATCTTTTCATTGATATTTCTTTCATTCATCACATCATCCTCGATAGATATCTCTTCATTCACCAAACAATGATGTTTTTCAATTGTATTATCGTCGATATCATTCTTATCAAACTCTTCTTCGGGAACTATATCATTATTATGTTTTTGTTTACTGC